GAGGGCATTCTTGGAGTGGAATTGGAGGATTTCTTTGCCTTGGAAGCTCGAGGAACAAGCCCGGACTTGAAGACTGATCATCTGAAGATTCTTACTGAAGTCTCTCTCTTCTCTATGGAGTAACTTCCCTTCACTTAGGTTTTGAGGAACCCTAGCTATGTTTGTTTGATTGGATGATTGTATGAGTACTCTGACTTGATAATCTTGAGTTCATATTCAATCTATGCATGTTTTCATGATTCAATTCTGCTTTAGTCGAGATTATTGATTCTGCTTTGATCCTATGAGAGGGAATACCTGATTAGGTCAATAGAGCACCATAGATTGATAGTAGTGGATCGATTGCTTTAGTCGAGGATTGATTCACTGCTTTGTATCGATTGAGAACCTCTTTCGATAGAGGGAGTCTAGTTCAGAACGCCTTGATCAGTTGTTCTAGAGAAGGATACGTCCCTCTAGCAATTGACTCAAGAGGGCCTTGTTCCTTTAGTCGAGACTCAAGGTCTAGTCAAGGATTCTCCGCATTGTGAATGAAAGTGAAACAAGTTAGAAATCATCAATCTTTAGTCTGGCTAGTGGCTAGGGGGAATCATACCTAAGTGAGTTCCCAACCTGTAATTAGATTAACTTTAACTGTAGTTTACTAGAGTAGTTTTAGTTCTTTCATCTTAATCTAGCTTGTTAAATAATAAACTGAAGCTGAGTAATAGTAACTCTAGAGACCCGTGGATTCGATATTTATCACTTGAGCCACTATACTGCAGTCCCTTTCATTGGTTACACTTGGCCTTTGTTAGGAGTTGTGTCATAGCGAATCAGAATACAAAGCATTTCTTTTCCAACCCCAACACCAACATTGCAGATTCTCACGACATTGCTTTCTATTAAACACTGTCGTTTCACCTACTGCGGCATTGTTGGGCTCCCTCTAGCTTCGCGGTGCCGTTTTAGCTCTCTGCGACATTACTTGGTACTAAACGATGTCTTTTGTTATCACGCAACATCGAATTAAATGCCAAGAGTCATTAATGCGACATTTAATTCATGCCAAAATAATTTTAGGTGTCAACAGCCCCCATTCGTTTGTAAAGAGCAGTATAAGAACCCGTCAGAGTAAACGTGAGAACCGATTCTTGCAAGCGGATTTGAAGTGGAATAGAGTTTTCACAGGTAGTAGGGATAGAATGTCGAGCACAGTATTGGAAGGCAGATAACGAACATGTTCTACTACTTTGTTGGAGGAAACAGGTACATGATGCCTGATGGTGCACGATTTGGCGGTTGCCGCAGGTGGGATCGTCGTTGGAGCCGAAACTCATGTTGCAACTGTCGTACGAAGTATTTGGGACGGCGCGGCGGAGTCTCGAAAGGGTTTTTTTTCTTTCTCTACTGCATGCATTCGCCGAAACGAAGAGATAAATAATAGGTCATAGTCCCATTAACGAGGATAACTTTGGGCTGAAATCACTTTTATTAAGATGATGCTGGAACCGGTGCTTAACGGTTACATCTATAACCGATTAAATAGTAAACGGTCGATTCCCGGTAGCCAAATTTATCTAATAACTAACCGATGGTTAAACGATTACTAGCCGATGGTTAAAGGTTAACCAACTAACCGATTACGACCATCCTCATACCTCCATGTAGGCCGAAAATAATGCGTTGTTTGAAGGCTTACAAAGACCCCTATCCTAGTTGTAATAGTGACTTAGACTAAAATGAGAATAATTTAAAGGAAGAGTTTAGAAGGAGCACAGTAGAAAGTCATACTTGCATACAGTTGCTCGACAACAATAAATAATATTAAGCTTTCATGTAATTTCGTGGGGTTTACGAGTTGAGTAATTTTTGTTGGGTCTCTTATCGTTGTATGCTTCGTTAATAAAGTTTGATGGTAGAATGATATTATTGTGTACTTGTGTTGGATTGAGTTGATTATGTATTGATATATATGCTAATTTTTTCCATTGATAATAGCTTAAAAGAACACATGTGTATGTATGAGAAATTATAGAAAATTTCACAATTGAATGAAAGAGGTCTTTTAATGGTTTATCGATTGATTATTCTGGTATAACCTTGCCAAATAACTGGGCTAATTGTTATCCGGTTAACTGACAAAATAACCAAAAACAAACTATAAGGTTATGGTAACCGACTAATTTAAATGGTGCGATTAACGATAAGCACAAAGTGCTTAACGATTAACCGAGAATCGACTAAATGGTTTCGGTTATAACCGAATCAAACCGATTATGAACCCTACCTGAAGAGTTCAGACCAATAAGCAAAGTTTTTTACAAAATCTTATCTAGGGTTTTGTAAAATCGTCTCAAACTTATTCTTAACGAGATTTTCACTGATATTCAAAGTGCCTTCGTGTCGGGAAGATTCATATATGATAATATAATGGTGGCATTTGAGTAGTTTAATGATATGGAAAACAGAAGGGAAGGCAATAAAGAGTATGTGGCTGCTAAGCTGAACATAGCTAAGGCGTACGACAGAGTAGAATGATATTTTCTCTAAGCCATAACGTTAAGGCTGGGTTTTCATGAAAGATGGGTGAAGTTAATCATGTATTGTGTGACCACAGTGTCCTACTCAGTATTAATTAATGGTCATCTATCACTAGTGGTGTATCCTACTCGAGGACTGTGACAACACGATCCAATATCCCCTATTTATTTCTTTTGTGTGCTGAAGGTCTTTCAGCATTGACAAAGAAGGTTGTGGAGGAAGGACGATGGAAAGGAATAAAGGTAACAAAACTGGTCTAATGATATCACATCTATTTTTCGCGGATGATAGCATTTTATTTAGAACGAAAAGCAACAGAGGGAAACACTAAAGGAAATTCTCAGGCAATATGAAGATGAATCGGGGCAACATGTCAGTTTGATGAAGATAAAACTTTTATTCAGTGCAAATCTAGATGAGGAATAGAGGTAGGCTATGGCAGATCTGCTAGGGAGGAAACTACTATTTGATTACAAATATCCGAGGTTACTCGAGATAATTGGCAGATCTAAAAAGGTTGTGTTCAACCAACTAATCGACACGGTGAGAAAAAAATACAAAATGTGGAAAAGCAAGCACTTTCCAATGCTGCCAAGAAGTACTCATCAAGGCAATAAACAAGGCTTAGACTACTTATGCTATGCCATTTTTGCTTATACCCCAAGGAGTGATCGATGAGCTACAATGCTTGATTGTTGGCTTTTGGTGGGGGAGAAAAAGAGAGGAAAGGAGGATACATTGGATCAGTTGGAAGAAGCTGTATAGGCAAAAATCAAAAGGGGAATGGGCTTTCATGACTAACACGAGTTTAACATCGCTTTATTAGGGAAGCATATTTGGGAAGCAACTCTAGATAAGATTTTGATATAGTAGATGCTGATTTGGGAAGCAACTCGAGTTACATATGGTGGAGCCTCATGGATGCAAGACCACTGCTGAAGGAGAGCATAAGGTGGAGGATTGGTACAGGATAAAGGGAGAGAATTTGGTGGGATAGATGGGTGCCCAGTAGCCCCAATTTCAATGTTGAATCTCATGTTTCGATTCTATGGATACATGCAACTGTGTCGGAGTTGATTGATCAGTCAACGAGAGTACAAAAAAGATATATTTTTCATTCACATTTCCATCCTTGTCATAGGGAAAGGATCTTTCAAATTTCTCTAACTAGTAGGGAGGCCAAGCTCATCAAGAAGTTACTGAAGCCACAAGATCTTACTAACGGTGCTAGCTATAACACGATACTCAGCTTCGACAGAAGAACGAACAACGGAATATTCATTATTTGTACGTCAAGACACAAAAGAGGTACCTAGCTAGATGAAATAGCCAATGTAGATCGACGGGCGGTGGGACACTTTCACCAGTGAGCATCATAATAGCTAGTTAAGATGAGGGAGCGATGAGCTGGGGAAAAGAAGACCACGACCTAGAGAAGATACAAAAGAACCAAATATGCAACAAAAAACACAAGGATGGGTGTAGGAGAAGATTCGAGACAACCAAAATGATGATCCTTCTCTTATCCACTAGGGGTCGATTTTATCTTGTAGGTAACCATGATTTCCTTATGGCCTTTCCCCTGTTAAGTTAGAGATGGACCTGTTCTTTTGGTTTAGAAATAGACCATTTCGTGCTTCGAGATCAAGCTCCATTTTTGACGTTCAGCTTGCTTGTCATACAAGGCCCACTAGAGTGCTATGACCTGAAAAGGCACGATATACTACTCAAAAGTATGAAAAGTATACTAACATCGCTAGAGGCTACTAAACAGATTTTCGAGGAATTACTAAGCAAATCTAAGTCAATATGGCCAAGTATATGTATAAAATGTGAAAAATATACCATGAAATGAGCCTATAAGAAAATATTTTTACGTGTCATCAAATAAGCTCATACTTAAACTTTGCTTGTACCAAGCAAATCATACTCAAGATCGTATAACTCACTTGACCTCTATGATGATACGTGACTTTCGATTGTAGATAATGAGCAACTAACAACTTACGAGGATAACCGAAGACAAAAAAACAACTTACCACATCAATGATGGCATTGCCCTCATATAAGTACAATGCACAAAGTAAGTCTATGACACAAAAGTTTGTGAATAAAAGGACTTTTAAAAACGAGTAACAAGATGGATTCACTTATTTGAACCATCTTCTTCCTAATAGGTCAACTTTCTTCAAACTTCGAGACATTTCTTTTTCTTTCCTTGTTTACATTAGCCAAATTTAAGGAGATTTTTTTTTTATAATCTTACAATCCCATGGTTTGAACTGTGAACAGAAGTAATTTGATCCAAACGAGGTTAGGAGTTATCTAAACAAAAGGTTCATTACACTGAAACATTTTTCCATCTTTACCCAGATAATTTCAATTAACAATTATTGTATGGTCGAATCGATTAGTGCCTCCTTCAATTTCCCTGGTACCAACAATCTTCATTGGGAGCACTGAAGTTGCATCAGTCTTCATTTCTCGCTCAGAGCATACGAATTAACAGAAGAAATCTCTCCAACAATCTCACGAATCGACGTTTCATCAGTGAGCACCGATGTATGAGAAATGCTGCTCAGCCTAATAACCTTAACCGACTGGTTCGACCACAACGTCTCCAATGCCAACAAGCTCTCCAAGTTCACCGTCCCATCACCGTCCCCGTAAACAACAACCGGCCGCCGATCGTCACCGAACCCGTTTTCGAACACCAGCACCTCCGCTGTATCCACTCCGGTCCCAATCACGCACGTGATCGGCACAGGAGGCGGCTCGACCATGTCAAGCTCCTCAACCAAGGGCTTAATCCGAGTCCTGTACGGATAAACACCTTCCGGATACCCAATCCCATCGAGGAACTCCTCGATTTCGAACGCCGAGTAATTCGCGTTCGGGGTGACCACGAGCGGCCTCCTCCCGAACAGTTTCGGGTTCGGGAGGAGCCACAGGTTGCTCTCGGCGCTCCTCTGTTCTCCCCTGACCAGCAGAGGATCGACCAGAGGCACTCCCAGCGTGTTCCCTGAAGCGAAGGTGAGCATTTCGTCCACAGCGCCGGCCCACGGGGCAGATAGGGCGATGAAGTGTTTGACGAATTGCCTGGCCCAGGATGGGGAGCTGCGGGTCAGGAGCTGGAGGACGAAAAGCCCACCGAGGCTGTGGGACAGGATGATTACGGGCTTTCTGCCGTTGTCTGTGCTGGCCTTCTCGATTAGGGCTTTCAGGTCCGAGAGATATTTGGATCCGACTCGACATGGGTGGCCTTCTGCCGCTAGGCCGTAGCGGAAGTCGTATGGGGCTCCGAAGAGGGTTTCGCCGTCCACGTAGCCCATCTCTTCCAGGGTATTCACCAGTGGCGCCATGTAAGCCGTGATTCCCCTGTTTTTCCAAACTTGGTTAGAATTCCATAATAGAAAACTGAGAAGCTACGAATAAAAAAGTAAAGAGAAAGTCAAATGAATGTTTAACTATTTAGCAGCACAGTTAAAGTACAACATAGGTTAGTTAAGTGTGAAATATGTATGGGTATTTTACTTCAGCAGTAAAATAAATGTTAAGTCTAATAACATGTCAATAGTTATAAAATACACAAAATTAATTATTACAAAATTAATAAAGGTATACATATTATTCCAATTACCACTTTATTTCACGAAATACAAGTATTAAATGTGTTATATAGGTTTTTATATGTGTTTAATACGGAGCAATCAAATGAATGGAGAAAAATAAAATGATTTGAGAATAGTAAGCAAATGGAAAAAAAATTCTTTGAGGGAGAAAATGGAAATTTTAAAAGGATAAAATAAGTATATTCATATATACACCTATTAAACACATTATTTACTAACTATGGGTGATGATTTGGTTACCATTAAAAAAGCTAAAGCCAAACTAGGATATTTACCCAAAATCGAAACGAAATCCGTTATTGATTTATGGGTTAATACCTTAGTTTGGTCCGAACTACACACATACTTTCTACTTTGGCCTATAGTATTGAAAATTGCTATTTTGGCCTGAACTATGTAACAAACTTCCTCATTTGGTCTGAAGGCGAGTTTGACCGTTAAATTAGACGGTCAAACTTGTTGACCGTTAGTCAATGTCCACCTCACCTGCCACGTCAGCTTTGAGGACATAATTTTTTTTTCTGAATTTTGTTTTCTTGTCATTTGCTAAAAATGGGCCATTTTTACGGTTTTTAATTAATTTTTGATTTATTAATTTTATTAATCGAAAGAAAACAACATTCAGAAATAAATAATAATAATTTTTTATGTCCTCAAAGCTAACGTGGCAGGTGAGGTGGACATTAACTAACGGTCAACAGGTTTGACCGTCTAATTTGACGGTCAAACCCGCCTCCAGTTCAAATGAGGAAGTTTGCTACATAGTTCTAGGCCAGAATAGCAATTTCCAATACCACGGGCCAAAGTAGAAAGTATGTGTATAGTTGAGGCCAAACTAAGGTATTAACCCTTGATTTATTGGTTTTCAGTTAACCAAAACGAGATAAGATTTTACTGGGTTCGGTTTCGTTTAGAACAAATTGAAACGAAACCCCATGGACCCCTCAGCCATTTGTTTTTGGTTTCTAATCAAAACAAAACCCGATAAAGAAACAAGGGTTATAGGTATAATATGCCCCTCTACTTTGACGTTTTATCAAACATGCCCCTCTACTATTTTTTACATCAAATATGCGCATGTACTTTGAAAAAATTATCAAACATGCCCTTCAGTTAAAATTTAGATTGAAAAAATCGTCAATCATGGTTGAATTGAGATTTAGACGACACGACATCGACAAATGGGAGGGAAACTGTCATTTTTGTCCCCTGTTTTATTTCTCTGGGTCTTTTCAAAGTGAAATTATTTGAATGATTTGATTATACTAAAGAACCAAAATAATTATAAAGTGAATTTATTAGGGATATTTTAGTTATTTGTGTCGCCCAAACTAAATTTCGGCTTTTGTTAACGATTTTTAGATGAAAATTTTAACAGAAGGGCATGTTTGATCATTTTCACAAAGTAAAGGGGCATGATTGATGTAAAAAATAGTAGAGGGGCATGTTTGATAAAACGTCATAGTAGATAGGCATATTATACCTATAACCCAAGAAACAAATACAATTGAATATGTCCTCTCATCATGTCCAACCAAATCAGGATTAATATTAACTTGTTGAATCCAAATCAGGAACCAAATCCCTATTACAGTCGTTTTCCAGGACCAAAATCGGCACAACTCAAAGTGATTGGACTTCGGATAAAAATACCGGTCCAATCCAGTTCGAGCCACTGGTACCACTATAATTCTCAACCAATAAACTTACTTGAGAGAAGGGTCGAGGCAGAGCAGCGACTCAGTGGATCCAAAGTTGCAGACTCGGGTCTCCACGCCAGGTGTGTTACGGAAATCATCGGATTCCTTGTCGTAGTGAAGCATCATTCGCTCGGAGAAACAGCGGGTGAACGTGGACAGAAGCACGGTGGGGTCGAACCAGAGTCTGAACCACCCGCCCTTCTGTTTCAAAACCGGGTAGAATGAGCAGATTAGGCTGGAAGGCTGGTAACCGGCGGTTAGCCTGGCTTCCAGCTGGTTCCCGCCGGCGCCCGGAACCAGGACGAGAGGGTGGAGGCCGCCGGCTCCGGCGGCGGTTGCCTGGTACGGAAGGATCATAATCGCAAGCAATAGTAGTGCTGGAGATGAAGTACCAGTATTCATAATTTGGTTGTTCTCTGGTTTTGGGGTGTGGGAAGGAACGGATTGGGGGGCAGAGAAGAGAAAAGATCATCCAATGGAGCTGTGGAATCTGGAGGGAAATGAGAAGTCGATTTTATCGGATGTCCCCGAAGGGACGAAAATGAGAAGTCGAGGATTTGCCACGGATGTGGTCTTTTCTTTTATGATACGTTTGTTCGTTGCCTCGACAGGATAGACGCTGGGAAAGCAGGAAGCGAGAAGTGGAAAGTGTGCTTGTTTTGTGATTGGGTTGTGATTTGGGCCCGATACTTTGGATTCCGGGCTTGAAGGACCCAATAGAAATTTGTGGGGACGGGGTTGGGCCATTTAATGGATTTGTTTTTGTGGAAGACGAGTTTATCGTTTCATGTTACAGGGAGTTACAAATGGTTGATTGTAGATAGGAAGGACAATATGTCGGTTTGGGTTGGAGTTTCCTAAACTCAAATTCAATTTAGTGGCTCAAGATAGGTGCATAATTAAATCTGGACCATTCATTTAAAAAATTCAGATCTAATGATGGAGAATTAAAGATCATTTTTATTTTCCCTAGCTTTATTAATCGGCTCATATCTTTTTCGTTTTAACTTGGATTTTAATTTTTTTTTTTTGCACAGATGGAACGAGTTCGTTGTGCTCTACAAAATGAGATACATTTTCAATATTTTTTGAGAAAAAAAATTCTTGCTTCTCGGTACCAACTGCATACCATATGGTATCTTATTCGTTTTTGAAAACGTTTGCACAGAATAAACGAGTTCATCATGATCTATTGGATCTACAAATTTCTAGGTGAACAAATTACATGACCAAAAAATACCACACAATACCACCCTGGTACTAGGGGTGGGCATCCGGGTCGGGTTCAACTCTCCGAACAGACCAGAACCGAAGCCGAACCGACCGAAACCGAAATTCACATTGATCGATTCGGAAATCGGAAGGCAGAAGCTCATGTTTCGGAAACCAGAGTCTGCCAACCGAACCCGAATTCCGATAGACCGAACCGAAAAACCGAACTAAACTAATCAACTCATATTTAAAGTGAAGCCCACTCTCTCACAACCCAAAATGACTGCCCAGAGACCCAATTCCCCCTCTCTACTGCAAGCCCAACCCACTGACTAACTCTAAGAGCCCACCATAAATTCCTAACCCTAATAGACTCCCATCCCTGATCCTCCTCAACCCAATCGAACCCCTAGCGTCGACTAGAATCATCGTTCCCACTGAAGGTGGAATCTTCCCTGACCTCCGATCGCGACCTTTTTTCTCCAATTGCGACTTACGACTGACGACCATCGAAGAAGAGAACAAGATGAGTTCTCCCTCTACGTTGTTGTCCCTGTCTTCGGAGCTCGAATCAGCGACGACGCCGCACTATTGTAGTTGAAGGCGGAGTATAGAGCGGAGGCGAGCATGAGACAGATCTCGTCTTCGGCAGATTCTTCCCGAAGAGAGAGAGACACTGAGGAGGGAGATAGTGGCGGCGGAGGAGGGGGATAAGCGAAGCGAGTTGTAGAGGCGGAGATCGAGGGAGAGAGCAGAGATGCCAGAGAGGGAAGTCGGAGACTGATGGAAGGAGAGAGTAGATAGGCCAGAATCGGAGAGAGGGTTTGGTGGTGGTAAAAGGTGGAAGAAGTTGCCAAGATGGAGAGGTGGAAGAGAGGGAGAGGAAGCATGTCTTCTGGGCAGAGAGAGGAAACAGCGTAGAGAAAAAGCGGAAGGCAGAGGAAGAAAAGAGGAAGGCAGGGGAAGGTTGTGGAATTTTGGTTTTGTCGATCCCGAATCAGAATATAACTCGGTTCGGCCAAACCGAACCGATTTATATTTCGGTTCGAATTCAGTTTCACATGTAGAGAGATCGGGGGATCCGGTAAGCTCATTTTCGGTTCAGTTTCGACCGAATCGAACCGATGCCCACCCCTACCTGGTACGGGGTGGTATCTCGTGGTACACAATGTTAAAAATTGTAAATGACGGTCAATATACTTCTACTATCATGTATTCAACAATCCTACAGCCTTGTTTTGTTCATACCACCATGGTACGCTTTTCAAACCATAGGTATGCTCTTATTTTAAACCATAGGTATGCCCTGGTAAAAAATGGCTCAATTTTTTTTTGTTCGAAAAATATATCAAAGTGGATATCATTTTGAAGAGCACAATTAATCTTATCTAACTACGCAAAAATAAAATCGAGTTAAAACGAGTGAGAAATCGTCCGCCAAAGATTAAGGAGGGGAAAATTAAAGGCTTTTCAGGAGAGAGAGGGATGCTGATGTCATGCTGATGTTGACGGGTTACTCATGGTTACTCACCATAAGATTACTGACCTGATCCGTTCCCCAATTTAGCATGGTCCATGAAACCGTACCGTACCGACGGTTCAACCACGAAATACCAGTATCGGAGGCTAAATCGGTAGACGGTATTTAACGGTCTAACGGTTCAACTACGGTAAAACCACGGTTTTATCATAAAATATCATACCGTTGACTTTTCCGGTACGATACCCGGTACGGTTTCATGGACCTTGCAATTTAGTAGGTGTACTCATTAAATTTTTTGTGAAATATTTAATTATTGAATTTTAGAAGAGCAAATTTAATCCAACCCAATCCAACGGGTGCATGGGAGTTCATGAATTTACGAACATGACTATATATTATTTCTCTGAACATCTATATCGTAATATTACCAAAAAATTTCCTATAAATATATTTCTACAAAAGCTAATAATATCAATAAATTATTAATATTATTATGTGTGTACTAAATTAAATACTAATAACATCCATAAAAAAGAAAGCATACCTATTATAATAAGAGGTATGCATAAAATTATCCATATTATTCATGTTAGATACAAAATGCTGTCGTTTTACTTTTCGGGTGCGGATCGGCTGGAAAAGGAGTTAGATTTTGGAAAAACCCAGTTCCAATCCAACCCCTTCAACTTTAAGAGTAGTTAAAATCTGTATCCAACTCAAAACCCGTCAACATTAAATTTGATAGACTTTGACTAGATTTGATCAGATTGGGTACCCGTGGGTTCAATTTCAATTGTCATTCCTAATCGCAAAATTTGATTGATGTTCTTCCACAATACAACTCATAGCAATCCGTGGTCTTTTTTTGTGTGAGTTGATGGTGTGTTTGGATAGGTGTATTTCAAATATACGTAATATGAAATACACCTTTTTAAAATGCATGCATTTTAAATACTAGTATTTGAAATACATTTAATTCAAATTAGTTGTTTGGATACTCATTTGTATATTTTTTTATTTTAAATTTAATGTTATTATTTTAATTTTGAATTTTGTGGTCACTAACTACAAATTTTGGTAAATTACAAATTGGTACCCAAATTAATTTTTCATTGTAAATTAGTACCTAAACTTTTCAAATTTTACAAAAAATCATAAATTTTCATGGTAAAATTACTTTTTGGCACATTCATATGTTTTGCCTCACACTATAGTACTTGTTGGAGGTAATATAAAGGGAGGCCCAATACGGCGCAATGAGGAAAAAGAAGGCTTCATCATAAGGCAAGGCCATTGGTAGGCCCACCGGGCTGAGGCCAGCTGTGATGAAGGGGGTCTGGAGACGAAACTCGGAAAAGCCCAAAGAAGTACAGACTGCCTATGGTCCCCACGCCGGGACCTATAATTTGTCAGAAGGCTGATAGGCTGGTCGGGGTGCCTAGCCTGACAGAAGTATGGAACATTAAATGAGATGCTGACGTGGAACTGAACTAGAGGAGCCCGGTCTAGGGCTGGGTAAGTATAAATAGGGTCAGTAGTTAGCATTTGTGCAGGTTCAATTCTATCACTAAACACTGGAGTTAGACACTCTTCTCTTTAGAAAAAAAAACTGACTTGATCGTCGGAGGATTATGGGCCCAGGCGCCCCCTCTTTGTGCATGTGTGCAGGATAGGCACCTAGAGACCGCGGGACAAGGAGCAGGTGTTCTAAGGATCAGTCTCCTGCGTATTAGGGATCAAATAATTGGCGCACCAGAAATGGACGAAACAAGAGACAAGAAACTACGGAAATGGAAGCACCAGAAAGTGGAGAAGAGGAGCAAATCACAGGGAACCTGTCCCAAGAGGCGAGGGAGCAGACACCTGATACGATGGAGGGAGCAGGGAGTGAATCAAGGTATCCCAACTCGGAAGGCGCCTCGATCACCAAGAAAGATCTGTTTAGCATCATCGAAGACCAAGACGAAGCGATTGAGATTCTCAAGCGAGAGGTGGAGGCGCTGAAGAGGGGAGAAGGAGTGGGGCATAGCCCGCCTTCAAGGAAAAGGGAAAGAACCGCGGAGATGGAATGTGAGTCTGGCCAACCGAGGCACCCCTGCATTCATGTGGCACCCAAATGATCACGCGAGTTCGGAATTCGAAGGGTGCAATGGGTGGATGCTAGGGCGCCTTCCCCGACATTGTTTTGTTAATAACTTGGCCTGAAGCGTGCTAATGGAACCGGCGGGGACCAATATACCACCACTCCTGACTTATGATGGAACGACAGATCTAGAGGACCACTTGAATGGCTACTTCACGAAGATGCAATTGTACAATAACTCTGATGAGACTTTGTGCAAGGTGTTCTTGTCAACTTTTGCAGGCATAGTGCTCGATTGGTACCACCAAATTGAGGAAGGGCGTATAGAGTATTTTGGACAGTTTGCGGCGCTGTTTTTATCAAAGTTCACTAGTAGGAAGCGCTGCTCTCTGAACATAGACGCCCTCTTTAGGGTTAAGCAAAAGGAGGGAGAGACCTTAAGAGAATTCTACGAGAGGTGGCTGTCTATAGCCATGGCTGTGAAGGATGTTTAGCCGTCGGTGTTGGGATGTTGCCTGAGTGAGTCCACTACCAGCAAGAAGCTCTACAGAGCGCTGGCAAAGAGAGATGTTACATCTACGGAAGATCTGGATTACAGGGTGCAAAAGGTGATTATGTTAGAAGAGACCTTGGCGGTGAGAAGGGCTGATAGGCGCGGAGTGAGGGAAGAAGAAAGTGAAGCACTGTGGAAGCAAGCACCCTCATCAGACACGGTGGCATATATGCAATTATCTCCGAATTTGATATATTCGTCAAACTCGATGCTTATTGGGTTTTTTGGGGCACTCGCAAGGGTAATTGGCTGTGTGCGCTTGCCGGTGACTCTAGGAGATGAAGAACAAAAAGTCACTCATGCTATAGACTTCGGGATCATGGATTGTCCCTCCCCATACAATGTGATTCTCGGAAGGCCCCTCTTGGCCTTGTTAAATGGGGTGGCATCCACGTGCCATCAGACCCTGATGTTCATTGCCCCGCAGGGATTCGGAGTGGCCAGGGGAAGGAGCGCCCCGTGTTATGCTCGGGATATGTGGAGTAGGCACATGTCTAAGGAATTGAGAATTAATGCAGTGGAATTCGTGTCAGAAGAGGCACCCCGTGCAGAGGCTGTCGATGAAGAAATTTTGATTCCTTTGGAGGATGAGCGCCCCGAGTGGTAGGTGAGGATATCTACACAAGCACCCTCAGAAATGAGAGGACAACTTATCGCCCTTTTACGGGAGTTTGGTGAACTCTTCGAATGGAGTGCCAGGAGATGCCAGGCGTTGCACCAGAGATTGCGGTTCACAGGTTGGCAGTCGATGAAGAAAAGAAACCAATCCAGCAAAAGAGAATGAATTTATCACAGGAGAAGGAGGCGGCGCTTGAGGTGGAGGTGGACAAGCTCCTCGGGGCTGACCTGATAGGAGAAGTCACATATGTCATGTGGCTTTCCAACATGGTCTTTGTGCCGAAGCCATTGGGAGATCGGAAGATGTGTGTTGATTTTACAAGCCTCAATAGAGCATGCCCCACTGATGCATACTCGATGCCCCGCCTAGATCAGCTGCTGGATGCCACCGCTTATCATGAGATGCTCAGCTTCGTGGATATGTTTTCACGGTACCTCCGAATCCCCATTGCCCAAGAAGATCAGGCAAAGACAGCTTTCATGACTAATTTTGGGAATTATTGCAGCTGGGTCATGGCCTTCAAGATAAAGAATGCGGGCGCCACCTATCAGCGCATGGTCAACAATGTCTTTCGTGACCAGATTGGGCGAAATGTGGAAGCTTATGAGGACGACCTAATCGTGAAAAGTGTCAGACGAGGAGATCACTTGGGAGACTTGCGGGCGTTTGAAACCATGCGTAGGCATAGGCTTCATCTTAATCCCCTCAAATGTTTGTTCGATGCTGAAGTAGGGAAGTTCCTCGGTTTCATGATCAGAAAGCGTGGTATCGAGGCTAACCCAAAACAAGTGAACGCAATAGTAAAGTTGGCACTACCGAAGACACCTAAGGAGGTGCAAGGCATAGCAGACCGACTAGCAGCGTTGGGGCGCTTCATACCAAGGTCAGCTGATAAGGCGTCCCCTTTCTTCCGAACGCTCAAGAAGACGGTGCGTTTCCATTGGAGCATTGAGTGTGATGAGACATTTGAAGAGCGAAAGCGCCTCCTAGCGGCCCCAACCGTGATGACGGCGCTCAGAGCGGGGGAAATACTGTACCTATACATCGCGGTCTCTAAGATTGCGGTAAGCGTGTTCCTGATATCAAAGGAGACGCTTACTGGAAAGGAGAGACCGGTATACTAAGTTAGCCAAACCATGGTAGCCCACGAAAGGCGGTATGCTCCCATTGAGAAAGCGGCGCTGGCGGTCGTTACGGCGGTAACCAAGTTAAGACCATATTTCCAGGCGCACAACGTGGTCGTACTCACAACCTCCCTCTAAAATCAATTGTGCGATCAATGGACATGGTCGGGCACCTCGTCAAATGTGCAGTTCAGCTGAGTGAGTTCAACATACGGTACGTGCTAGGCTAGCGATCAAGGCTCAAGTGCTGGTAGATTTTGTCGCGGAAGGAATAGTCGAGACGAAAATGGCCAAGGATGAAAATTGGCAAGTTCAAGTGGATGGAGCGGCCAGTCGCACCAGGGCCGGGGCAGGAATTGTGATCATCAGTCCCATGGGGGCAATTTCAAGTGGATGGAGCGGCCAGTCGCACTAGGGTCGGGGCAGGAATTGTGATCATCAGTCCCATGGGGACAATGCATGAGGTCGTGTTGCGCTTTTTGATGCTAAAGACTAACAATGTCGCAGAGTATGAGGCGGTCATAGTTGGGCTCCACATGGCAAGGGAGTAGGGCGCCTAGAAAATGCAGGTCAAGTCTGACTAGGCTTTCGTAATCAACCAGGTCAATGGGGGTTTTTGAAGTCAAGGAAGAGGCGCTAGAAAGTTATGTTCGGAGGATAAAAGAGTCGGGCGCCTGGTTCAATGAGGTCGTGTTCACGCATACCCCACAAGAAGAGAACGCCCACACTGACGCAGTGTTAAAACTAGCAACCGCCCTAGATTTTGCGGAGGAAAGGAAGGTTATTGTCACAAGTGAGGTGCCACAAGAACACTTGATCGCCACCCCCAAACAATACAAATGCAACTAGTGGCTGGATGGCACCCATATAGTTGCTTTTCACTCAAGGCGTTGTGTCTGATGACCCTAAGGAAGCCTGGAGCCTCCTTCAAAGACAACCCGCTGCTCCATTATTTGATGGTCAGCTATACAAACGATCTCATTCGGGGACCTACTTGCGATGTTTGAATAACGAGGAGAGCAAATCTGCCATCGAGGAGGTGCATGACGGATCATGCGGCATGCATGCAGGAGCACGAAGTTTGGAGAAGACATTGTTGCGGCAAGAATATTACTGGTCCACGATGAGGAGGGACGCGAAGGCACACGTCGGCACCTGTCACCAATGCCAGGTGCATGCAAATGATATCCACATACCGGCAGCACGGATGCAAGGTAATGTAGGCGCCTTGCCCTTCGCTCAATGTGGCATGGATCTTTTGGATCCTTTCCCAACGGCGCCCGATCAAATGAAGTACCTAATAGTCTCGATTGACTATTTCTCAAAATGGGGCTGAGCCGTTGGCCACCATTACTAAGGCTCAGGTGCGAAAATTCCGCAAGAAGAACATATTTACCCGATTCGGTCTGCTGAAGTCCATTGTCATGGACCACGGTAAGCAGTTCGATTGCAAAATGTCGTTGAGTTTTGCGACAAAAATGGGGTTGTATTGCGATTCTCGTCGGTGGCATATCCTCAAGCTAACGGGCAGGCTGAGGCGTCCAACCAAAGCATTCTCTTGGGTTGCACACCAGGTTGACGAGCGCCAAAGGCCTTTGGGTCAAGGAGTTTCCTAGTGTTTTATGGGCGCACCAGACCACCTACAAAACAGCCACAGGTGATACACCATTCGCCCTAACTTATGGCGCTAAGACCTTCATCCTAGTTGAAGTCAGCTTCCCAAGCTATCGAGTGGCTCATCATGACCCAATCAACAATGCCAACGAGCAGGTCAACGAGTTAGACTTGGTGGACGAGAGGCCGGAAGTAGCAACGGTGCTTCTAGAAGCAATGAAGAGGCAGGTTGCGAGATAATACGACAAGAAGATGCGGCCACACGACATCACGACAGGCGCCTAAGTACTTTAGCGTGACTTCTGACCATACTCCCAGGAAGGAAAGTTGGCGCCAAAGTGGAAGGGCCCATACCGTGTTCATGAAGTTATTGGAGCCGGCACATTCAAGTTGGAGCATCTCAAAGGCAAAGCAGTGAAAAGGACATGGAATGCCCAAAATCTGCGCCTTTACCACCAACCGCACACAAGCGCCTCTACTTGTTAGGGCGGGATTGCAAGGCCCGATGGTAACGTAGTTCATTTTATCTTTTATGTGGAATCACAAGTGTTGTACGAAAAGCGCTTGTATCGTGTCAAAAGCGCCTAAGTTAGCAGCGCCATAATGTGTCAAAGCGTCCCATCTGTGGCGCTCGGATTATTTTAAAGCGCTCAGATCAGTTAAGAGCCTATTTATGATCAAATATTTTGTTTATGACCGACCAATTAAAGCGCCCCATTTCGCGCCCTCAACTAAACAATATGTGAACATGACCGGAAACAATTAAAGCGCCCAGCTTCGCGCCCTTCGAACAAGCAATTCACATATGGACAGAAAGCACCATTTTTAGCACCCCCAAAGCGATGGAAAATTAAGCAACATCAAAGCTGTGGAAAACTAAGCGGCACCCATGCCTCGGATTCCTCGTAATTTTTCAGATCCGCCTTCAAGCCGTCAACTTCCTTATGAGACGCCTTCATCGCCTTCTTGTAGTCCTTGTGGCGATGGGACATGGCGGCCAGATCATTAGTGAGTCTACCCTTCTCTTCTTTGAGAACGTCGATCTCGCTGGTCTGGTCGCCACTTCCTTCGAAAGTTCCTACTTCCCAGACTCCAATTTCGAAAGCTTCTCTGCGAACTCCTTCCGTTCGGCCTCCATCTGCGCCCCGAACTCAACCTGGCATGTGCGACATGCCTCGTCAAGGGCGGTCTGTAATCGCGACACCTCCTTGGCCACCTCCATCTGTGCATCTTCGCACTCCTTCGCCAGCTACTCACGACACATGTTCGCCGTCGCAAAATCATCATATGCCACGGAGAAAAAAGAAGAAGCTGCTAGCTTTTCCTTCTTGGCTGCCTCCAGGCGTCGGGCGCCTCTTTCGACAAAGAGGAGTACCTGCAAACGAAAGAGGTTAAAATCTTTCATGGAAAACTGGTGAAAATCGTCGAAGAGTTGGGTAATTACCTTAGCGCCCACTTGGTTGAGCTCAGCAAAAAGGTGCTCGTTGCTAATTTCGACGGCATGTACAACATTTTCGCTGCGGAAATCGCCAAACCTATCACGCAGCCTTGATCAACAGCGGCGCGGGGAGAGCAGGGAAAGGTGATGGGGCCAAGCTCCTTGAAAGAGACTGGAGGATTGGAGGACATCCATCAGGCCCCACGAGGCGCCGCTCCTCATCTAGCGCCACTCAGAAGCCCGCTTGACCACCTTGACCAGCCGTGGCCGCCTTGCCCTTCTCCTTGTCGCTGGGAAGAGCTTTCTTGTTAGCGTGAGGCAAGGGGGGGCCCATCCTCTTCTCGCAGCACACCAATAGAGGATCCTCTTCCTCTAGCTGCTCGTCGCGAGCAGGAAGATCGAAGACCCAGTCCTCCAAACCTGTGTCGGGGTCAAAAGAGGCTAAGCTCTCTGTCTTCACATGGGTGGGCGTCTTCCCCCGACCAGTGCCAACTAGAGTTTTTTTTTTTTTTTTGAAGCCTTCCACTTCATTGGAACGGGCGGATCGGGTGCCTATGGCTTGTTGGTAGTTAAGGCCGCAGGCGCCCGTCCAACCATCATCGCCAGTAGACTCTTCATCAAGTTGGCGATGGTTGAAAATTCGGACCCAGCACAAAAAAAAAGCAAATTAGAATAGGCGAAATACAAACGGTAAAAAAGTAGTCACAATAGGCACCGTACACACGATCATTATAGTATTACACCAAGACGAGCGGGTGTTCCGCAGTCAAGGTTTATTGGGATAGTGCATATCAGTTTGGCACCCCAAGTCTTGTTAGGAGAAAGGGGCACTTCAACGTTAAAGTCAGCCCCATCTCCAAGCTCCCATTCAGTTAGGAAGGGGCTCTCACTCTCGAAGAAGGAATCTCGATATGCCTTAACAAAAAAGAATCCATGAAACCAACTCCTCCCTAATTTAGGGCACTTAACCACAAAGTGGTGTGGGACCTTCGTGCGCTTCTATAAGGATAGGCAATTATGGAGTGGCACCACATTGAAGATATACCTAAACAGGTTAAATGTGGGCCTCACATTATGCACCCTTAACTTCAACTTGAACAAAATCACACCAGTATGACCGAAGGAGATAGGTGCCCCAACGTGCAGCCGCAGGTCGCCAAAACCCCCTCCAAAATTGGGTCTATCGGGAACCGCAACCCGAAGCGGAAGTATTCTTGATAGATCCCGATCCACTTGGGACCACACAGTCCCACTCTTATAATAGGGGAAGCGGGCGCATACCACCAATTGTGAGGCAGTTGAAGGCTGGTAACCAGTTCCATTACCCGCGCCCGTGACACAGTTGATTGGTGATCTAGCCCGACCACGTTGAATGGAATTTCAGAAGAGTCGATGGGCAAATAGTCGAGGGGAAAAAGTTTTCTCCCATGAATGATCTTATATGAGCCGCCTGCGGGCATGAAACCGGGCGTCAACATGGTTGGCGTTCCAGCAGACCGGGGCGCCCTCTCTAAAGAAACAAAAAATTGAAGCGGGCGCACACCGCAAAGCGAGCTAAGCGGCACCCACGCCTCAAGGAAAATCACGAAAACTAAGAGATAATGAAACTGGTGTTAAACACCAAGGGCGGGATAGGCGCTTACCGGTAGTAGACGAGGCCCCTCGCTCCAGAGCGGCGCCCACTCTGGTGGCCTGACCATGGGATGTAGACATAAGTGGTGAGTAGGAACGGTGAAAAGAGCGGGTCAACGGCGGCCACGGTAGACAAGCGCTAGAGAGAGGTTAGAGAGAGGAAGGGTTTTGGGCGAACTAATCATGCAGGTGAAGAAGGTTGAAAGGTATTTATAAGAGGAAAGGGGCACGCCTTGACATCCGCACCCATCCGCCACATGTCACCATCACGGGCAAGGGAGGTGTGTAACCTATTAAGCCCTCAAAAAATATCTTGCAAATCATAGCGGTTGGAAACTTGGAATGCGTTCATGAAGGACTAAGGCGCCGACGACGAGAAAAGGGGGGGGGGATTTTCCAGGCGCCCAGTTTAGAAAGGGAAGGAGTTTCGAATGAGAACCGAGGTGTCCACAATGGGAAAAGGGGGGGCATCCATTAGGCAGGTGTAATTCGCCCGCAATGCATAGGGGGTCGTGGGTCAAAAAGAAACTCATCAAAGAGACACCTTTCGATTGGCTAGCAGCAGTAGGGAGGCGCCTAACCTACGGAGGAGATGCATAAAGGTGTCTGACCATACCGGGGGGGGGGGGGGGGGGGGGGAGCAGATGCGTCGAAAGACATAGTTAGGCACTCAAATTTTGAGTCTTGAGAGCCTAACTGGGGGGCAATTGTTGGGTCGGGGTATTATAAGGAGAGGTCCAAAACAAAGTCCCAATACGACCCAATGAGGAAGAAGAAGGCTTCATCATAAAGTAAGCCCACCGGGATGAGGCCAGGTGTGATGAAGGGGGCCTGGAGACGAAACTCAGAAAAGCCCAAGGAAGTACGGACTGCCCATAGTCCCCACGTCGGGCGCCTATCATCTTTCAGGCTGACAGGCTGGTCGGGGCGCCTAGCCTGACAGAAGTACGGAACATTAAATGCGATGCTGACGTGGAACTGAACTAGAGGAGCCCGGTCCAAGGCTGTGTAAGTATAAATAGGGTCGGTAGGTAGCATTTTTGCAAGTTGGATTCTCTCACTAAACACTGGAGTTAGACACTTCTCTTTCTAGAAAAAAAACTAACTTGATCGTCAAATGATTTACGGCCCAGGCGCCCCGCTCTTTGTGCATGTGGGCAGGATAGGCGCCTAGGGATCGCAGGACAAGGAGCGGGTGTTCTAAGGATCAGGCTCCTAAGTATTGGGGCTCAAACAGTACCTAAACTTTTAATATTTTACAAATAGGTCCAAGTAATATACTAGACATGTATTTGGAAATCATCCCATAAATTTGGCACAAATCCAAATATTGAATGTGATTAATATCCAAACACATGATTTGACATTTAGAAATCTAAATCACAAATACCAAATTCAAATCATTCTATCTAAACGCACCCTTATTTTCTGGTACATGAGCAACAATCTGTTAAGAAATTCACTTAGGTGTCGTTTGGATGATGAAATTGGATGATGCAATCAAAATGAATTACTCTGTGAAATTCATGTTTAAATTTATTCCTATGTTGGAACACATTTATAATTGAGGTAAAATGATAACATTCCAAAATGTACCCTTATTTAATAACTAAATTAGAAAATTATGTGCATTCAAAATCAATCATTAAAAGCGTATTCAAAAAGTAACAATATTACCATTATTTAGCTTATTCAAAATTTATCATTGAAGATGAGTTTCTTTGTATTTCAAACAAAAATAAAATTCATTTCAATATAAATTTTAAAAGAAATTACTGTATTCATGTTCACAAAAAATCCACCTATGTTTTCAATATTAGGTTTTCAGGAATTGTTTCTAAGAAAACGACAGCTTCGTTTTCTCCGGATTTAATTTTTTGTTGCCAAAATTACGGAAAGCATAATGAGAAGGGAACGAGGGCTTATTTGTCAAGGGAGAACAAGGGTGTCCTTGGCCTGGTGGTTAGGCAAGTTAGGGAAGGTAAGAGTACATTGCCCCGGGTGACAACGCAGTTTTGTATTATCAAGCAAAGTGGCTTGGTCACAAATATGATGATAAGGATGTTTTAGCGATGATGCGTAAGACCTACCTCTCCAAGACTAAGGGTCTGTTCGCTTTTATTTTTCGTTTGATGTTTCATGTTTTCATTTCATAAATCTAGCAAAGGAAAGTAATAAACCTATTTATATTTCATTATGTTTTGTGTTTATCAACTATGTTTTCGAAAATAATAAAATGTTGTTTTCACCAGTTTTCAACATCTGTTTTCTCGTATTTTCAAAGAAAATACTTTTTTTTTAATGAATCTGTGGGATCTTATTCATCAAAAAGAAGGTTGCTAGCAACACCCTTGCTAGCTAGGGGGAAAAACAAGTAAGTAACCTGATTACATCTATCAAAAACCTATCAAAAACTACCTCTGAGACATTCACAAACTAATCAACCCAGAAGAGTCTCACATTGTCCCTTCCCAGAACAAACACAACCTCAGTTTTGATTACAGCCAAAAGTTCATTCAGTCCCCTACTTTTACCCCCATACATTCTGCAGCACCTTTCTCTCCATATCTGACTTACCCATGACTGCCAGATGAGTCTTCCTGCCTCAGCTTCCTCTGTCTGCTTTCCATACTTTCCAATCAACCATGTAACCATATCTCCCCAGTTTTGAACCACCGGGATCTGCATACCACCTATAAACAATTGATCAAGTATCTGTCTAGTGAAGGGGCAGAGGGCATACAGGTGCTGCCTACTCTCAACTCCTGCACCACAAAACACACAGTTCAAAGGTCCTTGGAAACCCCATCTCTGCAGTTTGTCTCTTGTTTGTATACTGTCTCTATTAACCAGCCATGTAATCAACCGATTGCTTGGAATGGCCACACCTTTCCAGAGCAATTTCCACCAGGAAACTCTCTGCTGGGCAGGTCTTATTAGTTGCCAGACTCGTTTTATAGAGAAATGAGGCATAGGCAGACCATCCATAAGCAAACCCCCATTCCCGCTCGAAATGAGGGGGGCTAGTCCACTTCTGAGTTTCAATATTTTAAGCCAATTCCAGGACCCTGAAGTACAGGTATAGGTCCAAAAACATCTCCCTTTCAATTTGTACCTGTGAATCCATGCTACCCACAGTGACCCTTCCTGTAATAGAATCTGCCAGACATGTCTTGCAGCACAAGCACAGTTCCAACTACTCATATCTCTGAATCCAAGACCTCCCTCCTTCTTAGGATAAGTAATTTTCTTCCATACCACATTAGCTTTGAGCTTCACCCCCCTTTCCATTCCCCAAATAAAGTTGCTACACAATTTCTCAACCTCTCTAATCACTGCCTTTGGAAGAAGAAAGACAGACATCCAAAACTGGTTCAAACTGTAAAGCACAGTACCCACCAATTCAATTCTACCAGCATAAGATAATGACTTAGATTTCCAAGCTGTGATTCTAGCAACTATTCTCTCTATGAGAGGTTTGCAAGCTGTTAAGCTCAGTTTACCAGCAATCAAAGGCACTCCTAGGTATCTAACAGGGAACTCCCCCAACTTGTAACCATATCTATCAGCTCTTATTTGTCTTTCATCATTTGGTAGCCCTCCAAAGTATATTTCACATTTACTGGGGTTAGACTTTAGACCAGAAATCTGTCTAAACTGATTCAGAACTCTCTGCAACTCTTGTATCCCATAATTTGAGGCATCACTAAAGACCAATAGGTCATCAGCAAAACAAAGATGGGTGAGATTGATCCCCTTGCACATGGGGTGAAAAGGAAATCTTCCAGCAGCAGCTGAGTGATCAATCAAGCAAGTAAAAACTTCCATGGCTACTGCAAATAGGTAGGGAGACAGTGGGTCTCCCTGTCTAAAACCCTTTTTTGCTGAGAAATAACCCACAAGTCCCCCATTAAAGCACACACTCAACATTGGGGTACTTACACACATTCTAATCCATGTAATGAATCTCTCAGGGAGTCCCATACATCTCAGAACTTGAAAGATGAAAGACTAGTCAACCGAATCAAAAGCTTTCATAAGGTCTATCTTTAAAGCACACCTAGGGGAGATTTTGTTGTGAGAATACTTGCTGACCAGTTCATGAGCCATTAGGATGTTTTCACCTATCAATCTCCCTTTAACAAAGGCAGTTTGATTTTTGCTAATCAGAACAGGAAGCAATGGACTTAATCGATTTGCTATAAGCTTAGAAATACATTTATATAAAATGTTGCAGCATGAGATAGGCCTGAAATTCCTCATTTCATCAGGATTAGGAGTCTTAGGAATCAAAGCTAAGATAGTGGCATTCACTTGCCTAGGTAACCTATCTTGTTCAAAGCAATATTGGATAGCAGCAGTTACCTCTGAACCAATAACTGGCCAAGCATACTGGAAGAAGGCTGCAGAAAACCCATCTGGACCAGGACTTTTGTCCCCATCCATCTTGAAAATAACCTCTTTGATCTGTTCCTCTGTGAAAGAATCATAAATCCCCTCAGTTTGCTCCCCAGTGACCTTCCTTTTCAGCAAACCAGATATATACTCATCTGTTTGGGCTACAACTTCAGGATCCTTGACACCAAGTAGCTTCTCATAGAATCTTGCTGCAATTTGTGACATCTCGTCTACATCCTGGACTTTGTCCCCTTGCTCATTTTTCAGGACTCTTATTGTACTTCTCTTCTGCCTAGTCTTTATGGATCTATAAAAGTAAGCTGGATTAGAATCTCCTGTTTTCAACCAAGTTTCCCTTGACTTCTGATGGAGAAATGATTCTTCATCACAGTACAAACCTCTCAATTCCTGCTCTAGCTGAGTCATTTTTACAAAACTCTCAGGTGAAGGGTTGGACAGTGCCTCCTGCTGTATACTATGAACTTCTGCTTCCTTTTCTTTAACCCTTTCCCTCAAGTCCGAAAACTCCTCTCTGTTAAGTTTTCTTAGCATATTCTTCAAATTCTTTAACTTCTTACATACTCTAATAAGAGGATGCCCAGTCACCCTACTATGCCACGCTTCTGCCAATAAGTCATCAAATTTTGGATGCCTGATCCAGAACTTGAAGAATTTGAACGGCTTTGGCAGAGACTTCATGGAGGCACAAGTATCTACATATAGTGGGCAGTGGTCTAATACTCCAGGGGCTTGGATATGAACTTTACTGTCTTTCACCTTGTCTAACCATTCAAAATTAACAAGCACTCTATCTAGTCTCTTTGCTATTGGATTAGTAGATTGCTTATTAAGCCAGGTAAACCATGGCCCCGTGGCTTGATGCTCTTCCAACTCAAGATCAGTGATCCAAATCTTTTAAAAACCATCATTCTTGAGTCAACTGCTGAGGAGTTAGAGGCTTCTGAAGAATTCCTTACATCATTAAAGTCACCCAAAACAATCCAAGGGGCACCTGCCACCTTAACTCTCCTCAACTCATTGTAAAGTTCCCTTCTATTACTCTCTTCATTTGAAGCATATACCACAGTGCCAAAGAACATTTGCACTCCCCCCACCATAAATTGTATGAACTGATCAGAAGCATGTAAAACAGTAAGCTGAATATCACTTTTCCAGAGTAACCAAATCTTCCCCAGGCCATTTGAGTTATGTTGTACCCTGTTTCTCCAATCTGGGAATCTCTTCTCAACTAGCTTGTCTGTCTCAGAGGATCTTATTCTAGGTTATAGTATTGCAACTATGTCTATATTATACTTATTTATCTTCTTTAGTAATGCTTTATATTTACCTTCTGCTTTAAACCCTCTTGTATTCCAGGTAAGGAGCTTCATCTCTTACCTCTCCCCTTCCCACCTTTTCCTCCTCTCTTTGGCTGAATAGGAACCAGAGGAGAATCAACCCAAACTCTTTTCCCTTTGTCAATGAGCGGCTGCCTGTTCTCCTTCCCTTTATCCCCCTGAGATGTATGAGGTCGAAGGCTCCCAGTCATTGGTGACCTCCCACACACAGACATTTGCTCAGCAGCAACAGGACTCTCACCTAAAGATGATGATCCCTTCACTATTTGAGCAAAGCTCAGAGGAGAGCCCCCATTTGAAACAGGATCAATGGTGGCATCAAGCATAACCCTATCAGAAGTTTCTCCTGTAGATTTTACAATTCCAGCGTCACATTCAACATTAAGCTCAGTTTCCATCACAGTTGACTTCCCTACCTCTGTATCTCCCCCATCAACCTGCCTCTCAACCACTAAGTCCAACTGGCCACCTTTTGCAATATCTGCTTCTATAACCTGTACCTCCACTCTATCTCCATTCCCCCTTCCTGCCTCATCAACACCTTGAACCTCTGCATCACTTTGGTTCACTCCACCTCCATTATTTTCACCTACATCACTTCCCTCAGTTGCCAACCCCATTTGACCGCAATCTACAACATCTGTCTGCACAGTCCCCGACAAATCAGCTTCCTTAACTTTCCACTGCTGCACAGGCTCTTGCATACAACTATGCCCAAATAGTCGACACTTAGAACACACTTTCGGGAGATGTGAGTACCCCAAACCGATATCAAAAGCAGAATCATTATCAGGGTAGAATCGAACCTTATCTGGAAATCCACAATCAGCTGCGATCTCAACACAAACTTTCGCAAATCCCAGCTGAGCACCCACCCTAGTCTTCTGATCAGTCTAGAGCGGTTTTCCAATCACACTTTCAACCCATTCAACTCCATCACTACCCAGATATTCTAGCGGTAAACCTGTGATCGTGACCCAGATCGGTAGCGTTTCAACCTGTGGACCTATTGGCTGGATTCCCACTTCCCATTTCCTGAAAAATATTGGGTTCCCTTTGAAGTGCCACGGTCCCGACGTAAAGACCCATTCACATGAAGAAGGAGAAGGAAATTGAAAAATCATCATCCTCGGACCAAACCTCGAGACCCTCACAGTACCATCTCTCCCCCATAGCTTGTTCGCCCATGACTGGAGCTCTGCAACCTCCAGACGCTTCCCAACGAACTGCCCCACAAGTGAGTCCCGCCATCGCTCAGCGCCCTTCTCCTTAACCTCTTTCGGAATTCTGAAACCATCATTGATCCTCTCTGGGGGCCTGAAGGTGAGCCTCTTCTCTGGAGCAACAGCAAAGAGACTTACCCAGGAGTTGGATCCCTCGCCAGCCGGGGAGGCCGGCGAGGCAGCCATCGCCGATTTAGGGTTTCGTCCGAGATCAAAGGAGAGAGAAGAGAGAGGAGAGAGAAGGAATTGTTCTAGATTTTTTTCGGATTTTTTTCGAAATAATTATTCTTCTTAACTACTTAAAAAAATACTTTTTTCTTCTTATCGATGAGGTGAAATATTTGAATGACATTACTCACAATTACTTTTGATACTTTATTTAGTACTCTAAAATTTCTCTTTTTATGTAACTTTTCTCTTTTTATTAGATATCATTTTCACCTTGTAGACTATTTGAAACAAAATGAATAAATTATTTGTTTTCGATAATAATAATTCAATTCAAAATGCATTACCAAGAACATTATGTGTATTCAAAATCAATCATTGAAAGCATGCACCAACCACATGAGATGGAGTTCAAAAGTAACAATGTTACCACTTACCATTACTCAACTTATTAAAAAATTACCATTGAAAATTTATTTATTTTTATTAAAGAAACATTTCATTTCAAAATAAATACTTAAAAACTTATGGAATTCATTTATATTAAACAATATGTTACATTTGATTTTAAGGGTTCACTATAAAAATTATATCCATATGATATCTTGTCTAATAAAATAAAATTTTCTTCTCCTTTTTATATTAAATACTTTGACTTTATCATTTTCATATTTTGATTTCAAAAAATTTACGATTATTCAGGTTGCAGTTGCATAACTCAACAAGTGGTTCAGCTAAACAGGTTATCAAGTTTTGTTTCTCAGGAAAAGGTTGTTTCGTTTTCATCGGGTTCCATTTTATGTTGCCAAAATCACAGAAAATAAAAATAAAAGTAAATAGGGCTTAAGCATTGAGTCTTGGAAGGTGAGGATACCATGGAACCTAGGGCTTGTTTGCTTGATGGATTTGGTGAGGGATTAAGATCCATCATAGACTTTGTCCAAAATCTCTATTGTTTGCTTCATGCATTTAGAGGAAACAAATATGTGGGTCCCACAAACTTTAAGGGACCAAATCTGTGGACCCCACGAATTTGAATGTTCCACCTATTTAGGTGGGAATTGATTATGACTTTGAAGTCTATCATTTTTTACCAACCTACCCTTCGTATTTGCTTTCTCTTCTTGTATCATTGAGGGAAATAAAGGTAAATTACACTTCATACATACAAATTTAATTAACAAAAAACATCATGAAATCCATCAAACAAACAATGGTGTTTATCAAATCCATAATGAACCTAAAACCCTCATATATCCATGGTTTTTCAAAACCCACGTTATACCAAAACCTTCATTTTTCAAATCCACGACGCAAACGAGCCCCTAGTGTCACCTAGTGTCATGAGGAATGGGTAATCAACAAAGCAAGATCAATGTGTGTTAGCTCATCCAATGACATGAGAGATTAGTTTCATTAGGAGTTATAAATTACAAAGGGGTGAGAAGGATTATATATGCATCTTTTTGGATTCGTAGCGAAACCTCTTGACTTTTAGTCGATGACAGAAAACAAATTTTATGTCATAACAACACCTAGTCATCTAAGATTGCATGGAGCATTGGCAGGTGAGGTTGCCAACCATGAAGCATAGTACTTAAAAACTTAGTGTGGAGCCTTAGTAAGTTAGGCTATCCATGTAGCCTCAGCAGTGAGGCTCTCATCAAGGCGGGGTGGCATATCTAAGGAGGCTTCGAGACTTGGGCTTGTCAGTGTGATTTAGACTCAGCGAAGTAAGGTAGGCCACGAGAAAACACCTCAAGCCAAGTGAATCTCAACCCCAACTCACTAGGCCACAACAAGATCATCTCCAACTCGCCAGAAGGAAAGTAATATAGTGGGACAAGTAATAAAAGTCAACCAAGGGTATAGATGTACTTCCTACTCCGTGCTTATCTATTATCTAGCGGGAAAGGTTGAGTGTAGGTGAATTTAAACTAAAACAGAAAGAAATCAGCAAGTTGTTCGGTTACTTAAACAAGAGAAGAGTCACTCGGAATTGAGCCCCCCTAGCTCCTCAGTTAGGTTCAAGTTGTAATTCCCTTTGGTTGTTTTACTCTCGATTAGACTGCGGAAGATCCGAAAATAGCTTGAAATCTCTTATACTAACCGATCTCTCTCGACAGAATACCCGACAGGCGAATAGCCTTCACCGATATAGACTGTTAAGGCGATTCACACAGATCGTCTCTACTTGGAACGAACTCCAGTACAAAGCAGTGAATTGACTGACTCACGTACAATCAATTCACTACTATCAATTAAAGAAGCTCTTATAACCTAAAGCAGAAGTCAAGAAAACTTTATCATGATTCAATTCACTCAATAAATATGCCTCAATCGATTAAAATCATCCAATATAACATCCCAAAAGTCATTACATGAAAGATTCCTACCACATGGAACTAGGGTTCTTCATACCCAAGTGAGAGAGAGGTTTACTCCATAGAGACAGAGAGAGAGAGAGAGAGAGAGGAAAACAGAAATCAAAGTAATCATACTCATAAAGATGGGAATAATCTGCTCTGGAATGTCAATCTTCACTCTCGGAGACGCAATCTGGGCTTCAATGGTGAGAAATCCATTCCAAATAGCTCTTAGGGTTTGTTCTTCGTCACTTTCTCTCTCTAGAACTCTGTTTTTTTCTCCAAAAAGTCGAATCCCTCTCCCTTGGCTCAAATCTATCAGTTTAACCCGATACAAGGTAAAGCACGGGCGGACAATTACACGACCGTATTTTAGTAAAACACCGGCGGTGCTTTAAGAAATGCAACTGTGCTTTGCATCCCTTCGACTGTCTTCACAAGCCACGCTCGCACTTAAAAGCACGGTCGAGGTGTTGGAAAAACACGGTCGTGTTCTTGTGGAATCCCACCTGTGTTTAGCTCCAGGATCGTCACCAGGCTCGGCATAAAAAGCACTGGCAGGCTGCTAAGTGAAGCACGACTGTGCTTTTAGGGAAGGTTGACCGTGTTTCTTTCTCAGATCCACTTTTGAGAGGCTTTTGAGTGACCAACCGACCTTCGATTGACTCGAAACTTGTAACTATGCCTCACTATACTCACTAGGACCTGAAATATGATAAAATAACACAACCTAGCGTAAAATAGGCCAAGGCACCACAAAGTCGAGCCAAAATAGTAAAGAAACAAGGGTGAAAATGTGCAAAAATGGTGCTATCACTTAGATTGCATTCTCATCAAACACCCTTGTTTTCATATTCTTTGAAAATGATTGGACGGCGTAGGCGTTTATAAATCGTTATCCAAAATATTTAATGGGTGCATTCACTGTTGAAGTCCCTCCCTAACTATTAGGGATGGCAAATCAGTTACCGATTCTCCAATGACCGCAGTTATAATCGATAACCGCTGCTTATCGGATAACCGGTAACCAATTTTCCTAGGACATTAGTCAGTTGTCGGGAGTGAAAGGAGAAGCGTTGGTTAGCCGAGTAACTAACAGAGGCTAACTACCGGCGCTCTCCCATCCCCCAAAATAGTGGCACTCTCTGATCCCCCAAACTAAAAACCCTAGTCCCTTCTTCCAGCGTTCGTCGACTTCGTCCCTTCTCCCAGCCTCCCCCACCGCTCGGCCGCTCCCGTCCTCCGCCTTCATCCCCCGCCTCCGTCCCCGATCTCTACATCCCGACCTCTGTTGCCTTGGTTTGTTAATGCGTCGAGCCGAACTTTTCCATAGCTCGGGCTTGGCTCGTTAATATAATTCCGGACTCGCGCTCGGCCCGTTAATATATTTCCGGAATCGCGCTTGGCTCGAGTTCGTCATTAGCTTTAATATGCAAGCTTGATCTCGCCTCGTTTATGAAAATGAAAGTTTGAGCTTGAATTGAGCCCGACTCACCAAATAAGCTTAACGAGCCCAAAATCGAGTTTAACACATAAAATGTTCATTATAGCTCAAAATTGAGTTAGAACTGAGCACAAAATCACATTCAAATCTGCAGCAAAGTCTAGCAAAAGAAAACACAATATTTATCCAAATTTCAATACATAAAATCTATGAATTTCAATCCTTTCTAATGCCAAACCGTTAAATGAGCTTGTTTGCGAGCTTTCGAGCTGAACATGGTATTGCTCGAGTTCAACTCGTTTAGTTAACGAGCTTGTTCGCAAGTCGGCTCGATTAAGAAGAATCAAGTCTCGAACGAGCTTTTCTTGAGTCTGACGTCGAACCTTTCATGAGCGGCCTGGTTCATTAACAGCCCTACTGTCGCCCGCTTCGGCCTCCGCCTCGTCTTCCTGCGAGAAGCCAACAAGGCACCGAGAAGCCTCTGAACAGAGAAGGCGAGAACAGAGCAACAAAATCCAGAAAGCCTTTTGAATCGGGAGACGAAATCGAGTCGGCGACGATTAAACTCCACATGAGGTCGTTGAGCGCTATTGGAGTTGTGGAAAAAGGAGGTTGAAGTAGGGAGGACGGATCGCATTGGCGAAGATGTCGGAGGTACGCCGGATGTACGAGTACGTCGGAGTTTCGAGCTCGAGTTCTTAATTAAATATCGTCGGTGAGATTGGGATTGGGGTTCTGCAATTGGGGATCTGGATTGGGCTTGACTTTGGGATTCTAGGGATGGGGTATGATCCGTTGGATGGAGCTTTTGGGAGGATGTCGTTTTCTGGGTTTTGCTTTCTTTGGAATTTTCAGACTTATATGTAAAAAGAAGAGGTCGAAGAATGATGGGTTTTGCTTTCTTTGGTTTCAGACTCATCTGGAATTTTCGGTCGCTCACCTAACTGAGTCAAAAATTGGAAACTTACTGGTCGGTTGGTCGAGCTTCTCTTTAGTCGGTTGTCGGTGGCCTTTTGGTCGTGTTTTGGCTAACCGATAACCGAGTTTTCGGTTAAACCGAAACCGACCGTACTCCACCCCTACTAACTATCATGACTCAAGATCCTAGAAGTTTAAATTTGTTAACCCCTCAATTTGTGTCTTGCCAATAGATAAGAGCAAAAGGTGATTAGGGGAACAACTAACCGGCCATTCATGTAAAAAAAAGGAAGTAACTTCAAACTTGTCTAGTTTGACTTTTGAGCACTAATGTGATAAAGGTCAACCAGTAGCAAAACCGTTTTTGTCAGTATTGTGGACTAAGCATTATCCACGTTATGTAATATAATACTCGCAAGTGCTAAGCTGTTTGTAACTTTCTATTAACTCGAATTAATGCATACACTAAAGTGATGCCTACCTTAACTTTGTTTGGAATTTTTATCATAATTTTTCGTTTACGTGATTGAGTCAAGCCATCGGGTGGCTATAACTTTTCTCGAGTTACAACCACAATACGCCATGTGTTGGCTTTTCGACTGTATCTCTTCTTAATCTTCTCTTAATTAATTATTCAGTTAGTTGATTCAAACAGTTGAAAACAAAAGAGACAAAGCATTTCAAGGTAAATAGAAAAGCAAGAAAGGCAACTTGAAAAGTTTTTTCAGGTAGGAGCGATTAATTAGATTAAGTCAATACAGGTTATATTAAGATTAATTCGTTGTTTTTTTAGGTTGGGATTTGAAGTAATGTATTTAGATAATTAAGATTAAGTTTTTTTGGGTTAAATTTGTGACAGAGAATACATGCATTACCTTTTTCTGTATCTCTTCTTAATCATCTTCTCTTAATTAATTATTCAGTCAGTTGATTCAAACAGTTGAAAACAAAAGAGACAAAGCACTTCAAGGTAAATAGAAAAGCAAGAAAGGCAACTTGAAAAGTTCTTTCAGGTAGGAGCGATTAATTAGATTAAGTCAATACAGGTTATATTAAGATTAATTCGTTGTTTTTTGGTTGGGATTTGAAGTAATGTATTTAGATGATTAAGATTAAGTATTTTTTGGTTAAATTTGTGACAGAGAATACATGCATTACCTTTTTCTGGGCCACCTACAATCATTCAAAATGAGTGATTATCAATCTCTACCAAAAGGTGAGATTGTGAACAATGAATTGTCTATCCTCTACTTTTTTATTTATAGCTTAACACAATCTAAACCACCAAACAAGGTATTATTCAAATTCATACATTTCATCAATATATTAAATCAAAATACACAAATGGATTAAATACATTAATTTGGACAATCGCAACCTTCAAACGATAAGTTTCTTTACGAGAATTCCTAAAATTTTAGGCAAAATTTTAATTCAATAAGCAAAGTTATTCAGTCGGTCTTAACACATCCAGTAACGAATGAAGATTACACAATATAGACTCCAGATGTAATCTCCCCAGAATTGATATACTACTTGATTACTAGATATTTCTCTCTTGAGTGAATGGCAAAGTCGGTACGTTATCGGTATCCCAATACCAAATACCGAAATCCCGAATATCGAATTACACCCTAAAACCAATCCCAATCCCTAAATAATTTCGGTATCCCAATCCCAATCCCAATCCCAATCCCGATCCCGATCCCTAAATAATTTCGGTATCCCAATCGGTACATCGGTATCCCAATCGGTATTATCGAATACATAATTAATTACCTTTGCAATTAATAATTAAATATATAAATTAGATTTTATTGTTTAATTTAGGGCAAAGAGACTAAGTAAATAGTCTTGAGTTGCCTAGAACTAACATCTCAAGTTCTTGTAATTGGTAATCTTTAATTTGACGAATTTGAGGTTGAGAGACGACTAATACTAGTGTGAAATAGTGATGTAATGATCTATGTATAATTAAATGACACTTTTGGTGGTTGAGGGTCGCGTAGTATTGAATGAGAGAGTCTAGTTGAGAGGATAAAATACACACTAGCTTATATTTCGGTATTGATCGGTATTTCGGTATATACCGATCCTAATCCCGTAATCCCTAATACCGAATAACAATTAAAATTCAATCCCAATCCCACAAAATAATACGTGTATTCGGTAATACCAAATATAGACAAATTCGGTACGGTATTCGGTTATCCCAAATATCGGTACCAAACTTCCAGCCCTACCTACAATCATTCAAAATGAGTGATTATCAATCTCTACCAAAAGGTGAGATTGTGAACAATGAATTGTCTACCCTCTACTTTTTTATTTATAGCTTAACACAATCTAAACCACCAAACAAGGTATTTTTCAAATTCATACACTTCATCAATACATCAAATCACATTACACAAATAGATTAAATACATTAATTTGGACAATCCCAACCTTCAAACGATAAGTTTCTTTACGAGAATTCCTAAAATTTTAGGCTAAATTATAATTCAATAAGCAAAGTTATTCAGTCGGTCTTAACACATCCAGTAACGATTACACAATATAGACTCGAGATGTAATCTCCCCAGAATTGATATACTACTTGATTACTAGATATTTCTCTCTTGAGTCAGTGGCAGACCCAAGAATTACATAAGGGTGTCCTCTTTCAAAAAATAAAGTAAAATAAAAAATAATAATAATAACTAAATAATTCTTAAATAAAAAAATACCCAACTCCTACAAGTTAAAAAAAGTCCATAATTTATTTTCATATTATGAAAAAATTGTAAAATACACTTGGTGTATACACTACTCAACAATTTTGTCTCGGTATATCCTACTAGACAATCATTCACGAACTTACGGATATTCGACTTCTAAATTTGGTCTTGATGTAACTCAAAGTTGAAAAACACTTTCAACACTTGCCGTAAAACCATAAATTCAATACATATTAAGGGTAGCTTGTGATTAGATTAATTGTAAGATTTTGAAAATAATTAAAGATAGAGAATAATGATTTGCTGTTACATAATGTTTAGAATAGAACAACAAAAAAGTTGTAGCCTAATGAAAATTATATTTATTAATAATAGTAGTGTCACAAGTTTAAATTACCCAAACTACCATTTATATTCCCATACGCAAACTACAAAAGAGATTAAGATAATTGTTTTCTTCAAATTTCATAGTGTTCCGGACTATTAATTATAATTTTTTTTATCTATACATAAATTATCACACCGGAAGTTGGATAATCATTTTTTCAAAATTTAGAGGTGTCTCGAGACACTCCAAAGTCACCTGGGTCCACCCCTATCTTGAGTAACTGGCAATTCTTGTGTTTGATGATCTAGAGAAGTTGAATGCCATTTCTATTTCTAATCAATCCCGCGTCTCAATAGAGGTCTAATCATAAGTTGCTCAACTCAAAGTCAGAATAGATAAAGAATCAAATACAAGAGATAAGACTTGAAAGGGAATTTTGAAAATTGAATACAAGTGGTACGGAATTACTAGCAGGGCCGTCCCATGATATTCCAAGGCGCGGTTCGAAAATTTAAAATGAGCCCTAAAAATTTTTCTTCACAAATTTATTAAAATTAAAAAATATATTAAATAATTATAAAAAATATATAAGTTCAGAAAATGATTACAAAAAGAATAAGTGATCTCGTTTCCAGTTTTACCAAGAAACCAAGACCAAATAGGATTCAACCGAATTTCAAACTAGTTAAGCTTAGATAGAAATCAGAAATAGGCTAGGATATGTTACCTTATGAGAATCGACAGAGAGGGAGGAATTATCGAACGAAGCCGATGAGCTCTTTATTTGCTTTCAAAATCGTGATTCCTCTGCAGACTGGAGTAGCCGAACCTCAAAGAAACAAAATAGGGAATCAGATTAAGAGGAGACGGGAGAAGAGGAGAAGCTGGAGTCAGAACTGAAATCGAGAAGAGGAGGAGGAGAAATCTAATGGAATCGACATGAGGAGATGGAAGAAGAAGAAGAGGAGGAGAACTCGGATGGAATCAAATAATGAAAGACAAGTCGAAAACCTCGTCTCTTACCCGACCGGTCGACCACTTGAATGGCAGCTAATGAACGACAACACTTGTTTTTCATAATTACTATTACAGCCACTAAGTTTTAATAATATCAGATATAGTACCTATATAACAAATTGACAACCAAATAATTTAGTTGCTGGATTTTTTATTGGATTTGCAACCAAATTATTTAGTTACCTAAGATTTTCAAATTTCTTGCTTAAATTCATAACCAATAATATTTGGTTGGAGAAAGTAAAAATCAATATGCTACCAAATTATTTGGTTGGAAAAACTAAAAATTATTTTGCTACCAAAATTATTTGGTTGGAAAAAGTAAAAATTATTTTGCTACCAAATTACTTGGTCTTTTCAAATTTTATTTGGTTATCAATACTTTGACTTTAATAGACAACCAAATTTTTAATATTTTAGCTACCAAAATGTAATTGGTTGTATATACTACCCTTTTCACAACCAATTTTAGTTTGGTTGTAAAATTTTTTGTTGCAAAAGCTAGTTTTTGTTGTACTGTATCCATAAGTAGCGTCTTACATTCAGGTCAGTCGAACACTTAGGTTAACTTCATAAACCCATATCTATATGTGAAACCACGTCACTATGTTAGCTTTTCCTGCATACTAGTCTCAATACGTGTGTGTCAACTCGTACCAACACCGTACTTGAGCATGGATGTTTTATATGTTTATACAGGGTTAATGATTTGTTATTTAATCCAAACACATGACAAATTTACAATTGATACAACAAAATCAAAGGCGAGCCTTTGTTGATTGAGTTTGTTACATATATAACTAATGTCTCACAAAATAGACTTGTGCCTTTGGCATGATAATTAATGTTGAAAGCTGAACTTGATAAGACCAGCCAGCTAGGGTATATAGAACTAAAGAATGCCCTTAATAATGTGTAGTGAGCAGTAAGGCAGTAGATTGATTGGCGGCCATCAAGCTGAACTAATCAAATGCATGCTGCTGCGTTTGATTGACTAATCATGATTAGTAGCTCAAGTTTAGCCATCGGACCCGCTGCGTTCAGAACGGGACAAACCAATGCTATAATATAGAAATTGATTTTGTGTATACGAAAACGTGGCTACATGTTTCTTCAAATTAATCTAGGACCGCTCGGTATCTTTCTTGCTTGCTTCTTGTAAGAATGACAAATTTGTATTTGAATGAGAGATTTTGGTACAATTTTTTATTCTGCCGGATTTTGTTATAATGATTTATTTAAAAATGTGATAAAATAATGAGTGGTTTCGAGTGGGAGCAGATCCGGTGAGTAACCTTGTGGTGAGTAACCATGAGTAACTCGTCTACATCAGCATGACATCAGCATCCTCTCTCTCCTCGAAAGCTTTTAATTTTTCCTTTTTTAATCTTTGACGGACGATTTCTCACTCATTTTAAGTCGAAATTTAATTTTTTTTGTACAGTTAGATCAGATTAATTGTGCTCTTCAAAATGATATCCACTTTAATATATTTTTCGAACAAAAAAATTGAGCCATTTTTTACCAGGCTATACCATATGGTATTGACTAGTATTGAAATAAAAGCATACCTATGGTTTGAAAAAAGTACCATGGTGGTATGAACAAACCAAGACTGTAGGATGGTTGAATACATGATAGTAGAAATATATTAATTGTCATTTACGACTTTTAACATTGTATACGACAAGATACCACCCCGTACCAGGGTGGTATTGTGTTGTATTTTTTGGTCCTGTAATTTGTTAACCCATAAAATTGTAGATCCAATAGATCATGGTGAACTCGTCCCTTCTGTGCAAACGTTTTCAAAAATGAATTAAAAATGAAGAAAATACCATATGATATGTAGTTGGTACCGAGAGGCCAGAATTTTTTCTTCTATAAAAATATTGAAAATTGATCTCATTTTGTAGAGCACGATGAACTCGTTCCACCTGTGCAAAAAAAATTAAAATCCGAGTTAAAACGAAAAAGATATGAGCCAATTAAGAAAGCTAGAGAAAATAAATATGATCTTTAACTCTCCATCCTTAGATCTGGATTTTTTAAATGAAGGGTCCAGATTTGGTTATTGATGGATGCATAACCCATGGTTATGCACCCTATCTTGAGCCGTTTCGAGTATGTCAAAATTTAAAATACTTTTCAAAATAGCTAACCACCACAATTATTTTGAAATTTCTTATCGTCTTATTTTTCTTCTCAAATTATCCTTCCAATTTTATTTAAATCCATAATTACCCTTACCCTGCATTTAGTTTAAACTTCATTCATTTTTCTTCTTAACCTATCCCCATCATCGTTCGTCTCTTCCCAGAAAACATAATATTAGTGTAAGTTAAAACAAAAACTCACTATCTACCGTATTCAATAAATATAGGGTGAATTGCAAACTTGGTCACCCATATTACTCATTTATAACACTTTAGCCACTCGAATCGAAAACCATTCAACTTAGTCACTGATACTATACGTTTATGTCATATTTGGTCACTCTGCCGTCTAGTTCCGTTAAGTCTGTCCTAGTTGGCAGTCAACTCCAACATTTGACCGTTAAAAAGCTGACGTGTCATTTAAAAAATAATTAATTAATAAATTTAAATGTGTTATATTTTACAGCTCACAATTTCAATTTATTTTAATAAAAATAGTTCACTTCACCCACTAACACACAAATCGCCGATCTCCTCCTATGGCGCAATTCCGCCATCGCAATCTCCGCCGCCATCACCGTCGCACTCTCCGAGAGAAAAATAAGCAGAAAGAAACGGCGAAATCGACCCTCCTGAGAACTTTCTCCCAAATCTACCAGCTCCCTTCTGTCTCTCCCTTTACAAAATCCGTCGTCGCCGGTTCTTCCTCCGACGCATGCTCCTATCCCTCTGGGTATTAATTTAATTTATACATAGGCTGGTTTTTGTTCCATCAATCCCTTCATCATTGCGTTTTCACGCCTTTGCTTATACACTCTCTATAGACAGCTTTCCGTAATCGTCGATTGCTTTGCTAGCTTATCTCCTTGCTGATGCATGCCACTGATCTCTTGGTGCCTTTCTTCCGAAATTTAACAGAGAAAAGAAGCCCCTAAACGTACTCTAAGTGATTGCGGCACCACTGCTCCGACGCCGGGAATGGCTCCCTGACGACGGCTATGTAACTGCTGGAACTTCCAAGAAGCTCGACCTCTCCGTCCTCTCGCCAATTATCTCCATCGTCAGATCGTTTCGGCTGGGGGGAATCGCGGCCGCAAGTTCTTCTCCGAGGCCCGCGTCACCCGCGTCAACGACAGGGATGCCCAGCTTCTGATTTTCTTCTAGATCTAGACGAGTTCCAATGGAGCGTCGTCAGCACGACGACTGATTTCTCTGACGAGAGGGTGAGTTTCTACGAAGGGCTTTTGTTGCTGGACGATGGATTTCTCTTATCCATTATAACCCAGAAGCAAGCTTGATGCCTTTTTTACATTCTTCTCCATCGTTCAAGTTAACTCAGTGGTCGGAGAAGAGAGAGGGGCAGGCGATTTTTCTTTTTAATTTATTGGGTAACTAGTTGGGATCTTGGGGAAGGGAGGGACAGAAGGAAGCTGGTCTGGAGTTGAAAATTGTGAGCTGTAAAATATGATATATTTAAATTTATTAATTAATTATTTTTTAAATGACACCTCAGCTTTTTAACGGTCAAACTTTGGAGTTGACTGCCACCTAGGACAGACTTAACGGAACTAGACGGCGAGTGACCAAATATGACATAAACGTGTGGTATCAGTGGCTAAGTTGAATGGTTTTCGATTCGGGTGGCTAAAGTGTTATAAATGAGTAATATGGATGACCAAGTTTGCAATTCACCCAATAAATATATTTCAATATATCATATACTAGAATGTGGTGGGGCCGGATAAGGGATAGTCCGTAAGTGGATTGTGTTTAATTATTAGGTTTTAGAAAACTTGTGGATAAATGATAGTCTGGTGTTTTATAATTATAGTTACGTTAAATTACAACCACAAATGAATTATAGTACAATGAAAAACATATTTACTAATAAGTACGGTCTCACACGTTGGAATCACATAGAATAATATTTGATTTATCCCTCTTTTCCATACTCAAGTTACTATAAAAATTCATCAATTTTTATCAAATTATGGGGAGTCCCATAGCCCTAAAAAACCTCAAGTCCGCCGCCATAAAAACACCTGCGATTGGTAATGGCATAACCAGAAGAGGAGTAGGGGAGACAAGGTTACGCGCTGGCTCTCGGGAGTCTCTTTATATAATACTTGGCCAAAGTGTTCATAAAATGCACAAATTCTAACCTTATAAATGCCAAACGACCTCTATAAAACACGCAAGTTGATTTGCTTCCTCCGTTTCCCATGCTGGCTTATAGGTATAAAGATTAAAGAACTGCCAGGTCGTACATGAACGTCACTTTAGGTCATACCAGTATACGAATTCATTTTTTTTTGTCATTACGATACATAAACTTCTCATTGATTGGTAATTCTAATTAGAGTGGATGACATGTTATTAAGTACAATTAAATTTTCAATGTCATATGCCAAATCGTATGCCACATGATACTTAAAATAGATCTAAAAAGGGATCGCATAAATAATTTTTCTTCCTTTATTGTTGCTCGAGTTTTGAATAAACTTTTTTACAGAATTATGCAAAACATCTTACGATGGAAACTATCATAAAAATGAAAATAAAAAAATTGAGTTATACATAACTTGCATATCTTATGTTTTCACGTCATCAGTAGCCAAATTGATTAGAAGATTATGATCTTTTCGTTTTCTTTTATTGGCTAATCATTTTTGAAATGGAGTAAAGAGTAAATGTTTTTTGGAATTATAAGTTTTTAATATGTTACAAATTACGTGATATGACATGGTATATTTAATTATAGTTAATGACATGTTTCAAATATGATTAGAATTACCAATTAATAGGAAGTTGATGTACTGAAATGACAAAAAATACTAATTGAGTGTATTAGTATGACCAAAAACATTCATATATCCGAATGACAAAATCATATAAGTTCAAGAATCAAATTAAAATAAAAGAGAAATATAATCATAGCACACTATTATTATTATTATTATTATTATTATTATTATTATTATTATTATTATTATTATTATTATTATCATCATCATTATCATCATATTATTATTATATCAGGAGCACACACTTGCACTCCCTGTTCCGACACAGCAAGACAGCCATGTTCGATCTTATCCTCTTTCCATTTCTAAACCATCCAAAAAAGAATCAATGGAGATTGGTGAACAAATGTTTTTCTTCTTTCCACCCTTTCTTCCCTACCTATTGTTAAAAAACTATACATCTAATAACAATTTGCCACTCACCTATCTTCTTTTTCATGACTCTTAATAAAAAACAATAACATTTCTAATAATCCGGTGGGCTGATTTGGAAAAGTCCAATTCCAGCAGTGTAACCATAACCAACCCAAATTATTGATTTGATTAACTTTACATCTTAAACCCCATCCCTCTTCCTCTCTCTCTCTCTCACCACTTTCCTTCTTCCTTCCCCCCTGGGAGCTTTCTTATAAAACCCTCCACCGCCGCCCCGCAACTTGCTCTCTTAAATCCCCATAAATCAACAATTTCTTCTTCTCCCCTCCAGCCTCGAATTCCAATTCCCCAAATCTAATCTCTTTCTCAAAAACCCAATTCAAAGATCCGATCACCCGAACCCGGGAAAAACCCCTGCAGATCCATGAAATCGAAAGCAGGGCAGAATCGGAACGTGTTCGTCAGGATAATTACTTGCCCATTTCGGGTGCTGGGCAGAGCCAGAGATCTCTACGTCAGAAGCTTGACGGAATGCGCCACCGGAGCCAGCCACAACCCCAGCCGCCGCCGCGTCCCTTACCACCCCAGCCAGTACAGCTCCCTGCCCCGCAGCCTCAGCGCCGCCTCCTCCATCTCCAACAACGACGGCGAGGACCTCCGGGAGCTCATGAGGGCCGCCTCGGTCCGGGTCTACGGCCACAAGAACGAGGCCGAGATGTACGTCGAGCAGCTGCGGCAGCTCAGGCAGCAGGAGAGGGAGGCTGCCAGAGTGGCCGCCGCCGCTTCCGCCGCCGCCGCTGGGCCGGGGAAGGTTCTTCCCAAGAGCGTCAGCGTCGGGATGGGATTCATGGGGAGGATCGACGAGGACAAGGCGTGTGAGGAGTTTGAAGAGGGCGCCGCCACCGCCGATGGATCCTCCGGCGCCCGGAAAAGTGACGTCAGCAAGAAGGCGGAGAAGTATCCGCGGAGCAAGAGCTACGCGCCTGCTTCCAAACGACTTGCCGTTTTTTAAGTGGGAATTGGAATATCTCTCCATTTTTTTTATCAAACAATTTGCGTATTAATGAACGTATTTTAAGTGTTACGTATTTTTACGGCAAAGTCTAGACTCTAGAAGGGTGACGCGTTTGGGATAATTAATAACGTTTTGCGACGGAGAAGGTAGTTGCCACTTGTCGGCCAGCTGGTTTGCTATTTGTAGTTTTGTACAGAGTATAAAAATGCGGCGCCGGCGCCGGCGAGCAGTCCAAAGAGTGTTTATACAATTTTTTGGAAGCCCCAATTTCGTGCGTTTACGATTTCCGGGATGTATCTGAAATTCTATTTACAATATTCAACTTCAAATTTAGCGGCAGAAATTGTTTGGATGATAAAAAGTCTTTGGAAACATGTTCAATGTATAATAGTAAAAAGTCAAACGATAATGATCTAAAAGTAACTAATAAGCCATTTGGATAGAGTTTTGTATGTGGAATTTTCTGGTGCAATTTGGAGACATTATGTAGATTTCCAAATAGGAAAGGAAACTAAGAAGATATACAGTAAAATCTCTACACATCACAAATTAATAATCTAGTATAAATTAATAATTTCTTCGTCTCTTAAATATTTCAAGTCCCATTATTTGTTTTCCTTCTTCCAAAACAATCATCGGTTAATTTTGTAAGAACCCAACATGGCCCCTACTAATTATGAAACATGATCTATTACTTCTTTATTCTTCCATTTCCCCCCAATCAAATGACTAACTAAATCACTAGATCACCATTGCCACGACCAGCTCTGAGGAAGGAGCCCGTCTAAGCACACAACAACAGCTGTTGCAATGAAGAAGAGCTCGTCTGGATCCAACGCTCTTCAATGTGTCCATGTACCTCCTGAAAATCTAGAGTTGGAAAAAGATGGAAGAAATGGTGTGGAACAATAGGTTTCGAGAGCTTCTGAATAGAGTTCTTGATTCGGAAGGGAATAAGGAACATTGATTTTTATAACTGAAACTCAAATCGAAAATCAGATCATCGATGGGGAGAAATTCGATGGGCGGTGGGGGAGTTGAGGAATCTGCTGCGGCTAGGATTCCAAATTCAAATAATGATATTTTCAAAAAAATAAAGAACACACAGACTATCATTACATTTATTCATTTTTATTTTTAGCGTCAGCTTATTCCGGGTATTCAATCTCTTTTTTTCTCATTCCAATTATTCTTTGTACAGTCTTATAGGGAAGTTATGCTTACCAACATAGGCGATAGAATTAGTCTAAGTATTGTATTTAATAATTTTGAGTCTTAAATGTCTCACTCAACCGCAGTCGTTGCTAACATGATCTGACCAATTGATATACTCCACCGAGTGAGAAACGTAACCAGGCCTACTATTTCTTTTTGTGTGTGCTTCTTATGAATACAAAACAACAAATTCACCAAGAATCCTTCTTTACACGGCAAAGAAGGAAAACCAGTCTATGCACAACCGCAGCCTTAGATATCTGGAAATCAATCAATGATGCGAGAACTAAAAAAAATAGTTTGAATAATATAATTAATTCCTTTACTTTTCAATGGATAATTTAGCTGATATTCTACTCTTTTATTTTTTTTTTATTTTACGAAAGAGATTAATAAACTGATCTATTTAGGGTGTTCTAGGATGACCAAGCCAACACTGACGTAGGAAACTGCTAGGAATTCACAAGAAGCCAAACGGTTGATGAGTCATTTGTATGAACCAATTTTCATATGTAAGATTTTGGATAAAAAAGATGCATATTTCGACAATGAGATATTTCTAAATTATTTTTGAATTATTAGATAATCATTCCTGATTTTTTTTGAAATAACTCAAGCATTAGTGGATTAAAATACTCGAAAATAACACATTTTACCTTTTTACCAAATAAATGACTTCAAATGGAATAACTTAGAATGAATAATTTGCTTACTACCAAAAGAAAGAATGAATAATTTGGATCAAAATAATTATCACAAATTCACAATCACTGTCCAAATTAAATGAGCCACAGAAGTTTGTTTAATTATTTGTCCGATTCCCTTGTTTGTCTTCCTTAAAAAGACAAAAGAAATAGAGAAGACATTCAAAAGGTTTCCAAAAATATAACCATCAATTTTAATCTTTGGCGTATTACTAACTACATCCATATAATAATAATGATATTATTTACACCTAAAAAATAATCTTGTACCTATAGGTGTAAATATAGAACTCGACCCGAGTAACCCGCTAACTAACCCAACTCGTAACCCGGTCGCAACTCGAGTTGACTAAAAGTCAATGACCCGCAACCCGATTGACCCGTGATTCAATTAACCCGTAACCCGACCAGCCCCCAAGGCCCCAACCCTATTAACCCAAACCCGATTGATTTGCAATCCGATTAAACCCCAAATCTTATTGGCCCGAACCCGATTGTCCCGAACCCGACTAACCCGTAACCCGCCCGATTGACCCGAATAATTACCATATTATATATTATATAGTCTTTCAAAATGAAGTTTGTTTGTTGTAAGTCTAAGTAAAATTATTTTTTATTTTAAAAAGGAAAGTTCAAAAAATGAAATTAAGTTGAAAATATGTATGTTTAATAAAAGAAAGAAGGGAAAGTTTTGGTGCTTTTGATTAATGGTAAGATAAAGAAGTGGGAAATTGTGTGTTTTCAACTTTTTGGGAAAAAAAAGGAAATTTGGTGCTTAAATTTTTGGGAAAAGAAAGAAGGGGATTTTTGGTGCTTAGGTTTATAGAAAGAGAAAGAAGCGGAAAATTTTGGCGTTTTAAACTTTTTGGGTGAAAAAGTAAAAGAAATTTTGGTGCTTCAAAATTCAAATATCAGGAAAAGAAAAAGAAGTAGTTTTAACATTTTTTATTGTTTTTATTTCAGGTAGAAATTTTGTGTTTTCATTTTTTATGGAAGAGAAAAAAGCGAGAAAACTTATCACAAGTTACCAAGTCAATATTACTAATAAAATTGTTAACTAAAAGTTATCATTTAACTAATTATTAAGAATTCAATAGACTTGATTAATAAAAGAAGAATGTGTGAAAAGTTTGACTAATAATTAGGGTTAACTTCTTAATTATCGACTGCAAATGAGTCGAGCTAAGCCAAGATTTCCGCATCTCAACAACCTCATGGTCGACTCGATAGACAACACCTAAACTCAAGCTCGAATCATGATAACACCCTAATGGGTGTTTGTTCAGAATCCACGTAGCCACGCGATCAATCCAAAGAACTGACCTTCCTCGAACAAAAACTTTCACCAAACAGAGTTTGGTTTCGTGTGTATGGTGGTATATTTTCGTGTAACCTTCACAAGGGAAAGAGGCTCGAAAACTGTAGGTAAATGCTTAGCCACGATCAGGCTGATGAACTGATCGATACAAGTTCACGATTGCTCAGAAACCACGAAGAAATCCGTTCAATTCCTCAAGCAAACTAGCTAGATGAATCAAAGCTCAACTTTGTATTCGAATCAACAAAAACTGAGCATTACAATGAATTTGACGACTTAAATAGACTCAAGCTAAACCTAGCGACTCTTAAGGAAGTCCTTCACACAATAGAACTCGAAAATAACCAAACCAAACTCGGAAAAAGACTTAAAGTTCAAAACAACCTAATAATCCTAATCCAATACAGATTCAGACTGGCACTGTAGCAAGACAGTTTCAATCAGGCTTCCTTCGATCCTGCTGGGTTTTGTACGAAGCCTTCCAGACTTCAATTCTGCTAACCAATGCCATGTCTCTGGAGTAGATGAGCTGTACTTTCATGTGGTGTAAGTCTCCCAGCTTCAGTCGATCCGTTCTGGTCTGGGAATCAACATCACGTCGGTGAGGGAATGTTTTGGCATTGTTAGTTTGGCTCGAGCCATTCCCAAACGCTCCAACGGATTCATTCTCTCTCCTGCTCTGCTCCGGTGACAGCTTAAGAGGCCGGCGTTGACGAAGCTTGTGTGGCTTCTTTTATCCGGTCAACATGAAACGCCAAGCTAGGAGACTGGTAGTACTAGTCTTCCCAGTGTGCTTACCACCGAATTCCGCTCTGGAACGCCTTCGACTCTCCTCCATTTTCCTCTGGTCTGCTCAGACTTCCTTTGGTGACAGGGCTTCAACCGAATCTTTCGTCGATCGCGTTTGAACCTGTAACAGTTGGTTCCTCCGTCGTGGGTGACGGCACGATCAAATTGCCAAGGTATGCCTAATAGCAGGTGAGCATCTTGCATCGGTGCTACGTCGAACAAATGTTCGTCGTGATACCCTTCGATGGCAAAGTTCACCTTATCTTGCCTGGTCACTTGAAGGGATCTATAGTCGTTGAGCCAATGAAGGGTATATGGCTTAGGGTGCTTGATTGTGTCCAAGCCAAGATTTTGCACCACCTCTTGACTAACAACATTGGCGCAGCTGCCTCCGCTGACAATGACATACAAGATTTCTCCAACTACCTCACACCGAGAACGGAACAAATTGCTCCTCTGGTCGTAATCTGGTGAGGTCTCGACGGTCAGAGCTCTCCTACTGACCCAAAGAGTTTTCCAAGAGCAACCTCCATTTCAATTTCCTCGTCAGCCCTATCTTCTTAGCCGGAATGCAATTGCTCATCATCACTGAGAAATTCACCGTCTTTGATCACCAATGTTTTTAAGTTGGACACTGATTAGCCTTATGGCCTCGTCCATGGCATTTGAAGCACTAGATTCCTCAAGAACGCTCAGATGAGATGGTGGTTGCGTTCCTGGGAGCCACTTTAGCGATTTCCTGCCTTTCCGGAGTCGAATTGAGATCATGACTCGTCTCCGGTGCGATCTTCACTGCCGGTGAAATTCTTCGACTTGGCGCCAGCTTCTGCTGCTTTTCTATCTTCACAGCAAGGTGGACTGCCTCGTCGAGGTCTTTAAAGGCTCTCAACTCAACTTCTTGTTAGATTCCATGGTTTAATCCGTGCAAAAATCGCGAGATTTTTGCCTCTCTGGCTTCATGAACATCGACCCACATTAGGAGCAATTCAAGCTCTCTGTAGTAGTTCTCCACGCTCCTCGATCCTTGCCGAATACCTTGTAGCGAGTCATGGAGCTCACGTAGGTAATATTCCCGAAGAAAACACTCCCTCATCATTCCTCGTAGCTACGTCCAAGTTGTGATCTCCAGCTGTAGATTCCTCTGTCATCGGAGTCGAATTTGCTCCCACCACTGGGCATCATAGTCACTAAATTCGTAGGTTTCTAAAGCAACCTTCTGCTGCTCTGTGTATCGACCACACTAAAAAAACCAGATTACTTTACGCTTCCAATCCAGGTAAGAGGTCACATTTGGAGTTCCCTGAAACACTGGCGCCGCGAGCTTAATTCCCGGAGGAATTGCTGGCTCCTTGACTCACTATGACACAACTCCTAACAATGGCCAAGTGTAACCAATGAAAGGGACTGCAGTATAGTGGCTCAAGTAATAAATATCAAATCCACGGGTCTCTAGAGTTACTATTACTCAGCTTCAGTTTATTATCTCGCAAACCAGATTAAGATGGAACAACTAAAACTACTCTAACAAACTACAATTAAAGTTAAATCTAATTACAGGTTGGGAACTCACTTAGGTATGATTCCTCCTAGCCACTAGCCAGATTAATGATTTCTAACTTGTTTCACTTTCATTCACAATGCGGAGAATCCTTGACTAGACCTTGAATCTCGACTAAAGGATCAAGGCCCTCTTGAGTCGATTGCCTAGAGGGACGTATCCTTCTCTAGAACAATCGATCAAGGCGTTTTGAACCATACTCCCTCTATAGAATGAGGTTCTCAATCGATACAAAGCAGTGAATCAATCCTCGACTAAAGCAATCGATCCAATACTATCAATCTATGGTGCTCTATAGACCTAATCAGGTATTCGCTCTCATAGGATCAAAGCAGAATCAATAATCTCAACTAAAGCAAAATTGAATCATGAAAACGTGCATAGATTGAATATGAACTCAAGATTATCAAGTAGGAGTATTCATACAATCATCCAATCATACAATCATTCAACGGTCTTAGCTCCACTAATTCACAAAATCAACTGGCACAGCAGAGAGCTAGATAGCAAAAATATTATACTTCAACATCCTCCATAGTGCTACACTACCTCCCTAGGTTGCACATTACTATAGAGAATGTCAATTCAAAGCATTTTGAGCAGGCAATTTGCAAGGACACACGTACTTGGAGCCCTCAAATTCAAAAATTTGGACAATAGACTAGGCTCCAAGCACACAAACAGCCAAACATTCACCCGCATACATAATCGAACATCCTCCCAAACTTAAGCACGACATTGTCCTCAATGGAGGAAAGATAAGGAGGGTAGAACGAAGTTACCAGATCAAGGGTGAATGACGGTGGACGAGGCAGGCAGTGCATTCCAGGAGAAGAGAGTAGTCGGAACACAAACACCACACAAAATCTCACAAAGGTTGAGTTATTGACTCTAAAATCAAATAACAAAACTGACTCAACCGAGGAGAAAGAGAGAAAGAAATGCAAACCGACTGGTTGGGTTGCCTCCCAACAAGCGCTTCTTTCACGTCGTGAGTTGGACTATGACTCCTAAGTTTCGGTCCACCCCAAAACCTCCTTGAAGTTGAGGTTCTCGTCGATGAGGTGAAGTCATAAGTCACGAGCATGTGGTATGACAGGTGATGAAAGCTCGTGCACTTGATGCGGATGAAGTCTCCACTCTCAAGACCTCTTCTTCTCTTCTTTCATCTCATTGCCCCAAACCAGATATGACAACATTGATTGACCACCATCGCGTCCACCAAGAGGGACCTATATCGATGTGGCCTTGGTCTGGCAAAGAGACACTGCAAATGGGTAATTGCTAAGCAATTCCTCGAAGTTTGGTGGAGATATCACATGTAACTCATGGCCGG